GGATCCGAACCAGCGAACCCCAGGCCGCCGCAGCGGAGCACGCGCACTTAACCGCTTGCACCACCAGGCCGGCCCCTGAAAATTTCAAAATAAAAAGTTAGGGGGAAAATTTCCTGGCTTGTTTTCAAGATGCCCACCTACATCCAATTTTAAGAAAATCAAATTCCTCCAAGCTTGTAAGCCACCTAATCCTCAATACAGTAGTCTTTCCCTTCTCCCCACATGAACAGACACTTTCTCATCTTTTCCTCTTCCACTCTCCTTCCTCATAACCCAAAGACAGGGAAAATACTAATATAAGCATGGTTTTGACATATGAAATTGGCTTTGTCTTGGTGACCTAGACCTAGTTCTTTTGCTACCCCGACTTTCTCTTCCTACCAGCAGAATAGGAAAAACGCAGTACAGGCATACCTCAGAGATACTGTTCAGTTCCAGACCACTGCTATAAAGCGAGTATCACAACAAAGCAATTCACACCAATTTTTTGGTTTCCCAGTGCATATACAAGTAATGTTTACACTATACTGTAGTCTATTAAGTGTGCCAATAGCATTATGTATAAAAAAAAATGTACATACCTTAATTAAAAAAATACTTTATTGCTAAAATATGCTAACCATCACCTGAACCTTCAGTGAGTCAAAATCTGTTTGCTCTTGTAAAAAATGCAGTATCAGTGAAGTGCAATAAAATGAGGTACACCTTGGAGATATTGCAGTGGTCTGTTGCAGACCACTGCAATAAAGCGAATATTGCAATAAAGTGATTCACATGAATCTTTTGGTTTCCCAGCACACATAAAAGTTATGTTAATTACACTATACTGTAGTCTATTAAGTGTGCAACAGCATTATGTCTGAAAAAACAATGTACCTAATTAAAAACTATTTTATGGTTAGGGCCGGCCGGGTGGTACAGTGGTTAAGTGCGCGCACTCCACTTCAGCGGCCTGGGGTTCGCAGGTTCGGATCCCAGGTGCACACTGACGCACTGCTTGTTGAGCCATGCTGTGGCGGCGTCCCATATAGAGGAAGATGGGCATAGATGTTAGCCCAGGGCCAATCTTCCTCAGCAAAAAGAGGAGGATTGGCATCGGATGTTAGCTCAGGGCTGGTCTTCCTCACCAAAAAAAAAAAAAATTATTTTATTGCTAAAAAATGCTAAACATCACCTGAGCCTTCAGTGAGTCAATCTTTTTCCTGGTGGAGGGTCTTGCCTTGATGTTTATGGCTGCTGACTATCAGTGTGGTGAGTACTGAAGGTTGGGGTGCCTGTGGCAATTTGTTAAAATAAAACAGTGAAGTTTGCCGCATCAACTGACTCTTCCTTTCATGAACAATTTCTCTGTAGCATGCAATGCTTTTTGGTAGCATTTTACCCACGGTAGAACTTCTGTAAAAATTGGAGTCAATCCTCTCAAACCCTGCTGCTGCTTTATCAACTAAGTTTATACAGTATTCTAAATCCTTTGTTGTCATTTTAACAATCTTCACCAGGAGTAGCTTCCATCTCAAGAAACCACTTTCTTTGCTTGTCCATAAGAAAGAAAGAACTCATCTGTTCAAGTTTTATGAGATTACAGCAATTCAGTGATATCTTCAGGATCTACTTCTAATTCTAGTTCTCTTGCTATTTTCACCACATTGGCAGTACCTTCGTCCACTGAAGTCTGGATCCCCTCAAAGTCATCCATGAGGGTTGGAATCAACTTCTTCCAAACTCCTATTAATGTTGAAATTTTGACCTCTTCCTGTTAAACACCAATGTTCTTAATGGCTTCTAGAATGGTGACTCCTTTCCAGAAGGTTTTGAATTTACTTTGCCCAAATTCATCAGAGGACTCACTATCTATGGCAGCTATAGCCTTATGATATGTATTTCTTAAATAAGACCTGAAAGTTGAAATTAGTCCTTGATTCAAGGGCTACAGAATGAATGTCACGTTAGCAGGCATGAAAACAACATTCATTTCATTGTACATCTCTATCAGAGCTCTTGGGTGACCAAGCGCATTGTCAATGAGCAGTAATATCTTGAAAAGAATCTTTTCTTCTGAGCAGTAGGTCTCAACAGTGGGCTTAAAGTATTCAGTAAACCATATTGTAAACAGATGTGCTATCAACCAGGATTTGTTATTCCATTTCTAAAGCACAGGGTAGATTAAGCATAATTCTTAAGGGCTCTAGGATTTTGGGAATGGTAAATGAGCATTGGCTTCAACTTCAAGTCACTAGCTGCATTAGCCCCTGACAAGAGTCAGCCTGTCCTCTGAAGCCAGGCATTGACTTCTCCTCTCTAGCTATGAAAGTTCTAGATGGCATTTTCTTCCAATAGAAGGCTGTTGCATCTACATTGAAAATCTGTTGTTAGGGGCCGGCCCAGTGGCATAGTGGTTAAATTCATACGCTCCACTTCAGCAGCCTGGGGTTCGCCAGTTCGGATCCTGGGCATGGACCTATGCACAGCTCATCAAGCCATGCTGAGGCAGCATCCCACATAGAGCAACAAGAAGGATGTACAACTATGACATAATAACTGTCTACTGGGGCTTTGGTGACTAAAAAGATAAAAAAAAAAAAAAAGGAGGAAGATTGGCAATAGATGTTAGCTCAGGGCCAATCTTCCTCAAAAAAGAAAAAAGAAAAGAAAATCTGTTGTTTAGTTTACCCACCTTCATTAATTATCTTAGCTAGACCTTCTAGATAACTTGCTGCAGCTTCTACACCAACACTTGTTGCTTTAACTTGCATTTTTATGTCATGGAGATGGCTTCTTTCCTTGAACCTCATGAACCAACCTCTGCTACCTTCAAAGTTTTCTTCTGCAGCTTCCTCACTGTCTCTCAGCCTCCATAGCATTCAAAGGAATTAGGGCCTTGCTCTGGATTAAGCTTTGGCTCAAGGGAATGTTGTAGCTGGTTTGCTTTTCTATCCAGACCACTAAAACTTTCTCCATATCAGCAATAAAGCTGTTTGTCTTTCTCATCATTTGTGTGTTCACTGAGTAGCACTTTTAATTTCCTTCAAGAATTTTTCCTTTGCATTCACAACTTGGCTGTTTGGCACAAGAGGCCTAGCTTTTGGCCTATCTTGCCTTTTGACAAGCCTCCCTCACCAAGCTTAATCATTTCTAGCTTTTGATTTAAAGTGAGAGATGTGTGACTCTTCCTTTCACTTGAACACTTAGAGACCACTATAGGGTTATTAATTGGCCTAATTTCAATACTGTTGTGTCTCAGGGCATACGGAGGCCCGAGGAGAGGGAGAGAGACAGGGGAATGGCCAGTTGGTGGAGCAGTCAGAACACACACATTTATTGATTAAGTTCGCCATCTTATATGGGCGCAGTTCATGGTGCCCCAAAACAATCACAATAGTAACATCAAAGATCAGTGATCGCAGATCCCCATAACAAATACAATAATAAAAAAGTTTGAAATATTGCCAGAATTATCAAAATATGATACAGAGACATGAAGTGAGCAAATGCTGTTACAAAAATGGTGCTGACAGACTTTCTCTATGCAGGGGTGCCACAAACCGTCAATTTGTAAAAACATAGTATCTGCGAAGCATAATAAAATGACGAATGCCTGTATGGCCCATACACTGCATTTGCTTATTAGTTCTCTTAAATACCTTT